TTGGAATAAAAACTCGTGCAAATTATTTCATTTCAGACTTCCCTCTGGGGAGAGATTGCTTCAAAGCTACAGTAATGGAAATCTGAGATGCAGTTACTGGCCAAAGGCCAGCAAAGACATTGGTCACTTGGATGTGTTTCTTCCTTCCCAGCTGCAAAAGAGTTTCAGCAAGGGAAAACAAAATTAAATGTGCCATAATAATTGGAAAAAATGAAAATGTTACCACATTATAGCAAAAGCAATAAGACACGGAGGTGCTTCTGAAGAGCCATTAAAAATACAGCACTTCTGCTGTCCTTGTTTCCTACCACTTACTGAAACACAATTCAGAGGATGACCCCTGATCCAGGCTGTTCCCATGGCTGGCACTTCATGTTACTTTAGCTTAGAAAGGAGCAGTAAATATCCATGAGAAAAAAAAACCCAGCTTAAAATCTCCTCACCTACCCTTCACTGCACTTAATTGTGATGCAAATACTAATTTTCTTTTACTAATTCATCAAGGAAACCCTTGAATCTGAAACTTGTGAATGGATTTTCATGAAATTAAATTGCCTGACCATGGTACAACTCTCTATTCCATTTCTAACCTGCTCTTAAGGCAAAGAAAGAATGAAGAAAACAATGCTTGCAATCAATGTCTGCAGAAATGTTCACTTGTCCCATGTGCCTGGTGATGTTTTGTTAAAAAATCATACAATTAGGAGCCTAGGAGCTGTAGAAAAATGCATTCTGAGCTTTCTCACTATTTTCATGGTATATCCAACTATCTGCACATGTTATTAGCAGGTTTTTTCAGTGCATGCTATTAACCCAGTTGACTTCTTTCTGGTATCTGATATATAAATCTGCACTTAGCAATACAGCAGAATAATTTGCTGTGTGGTGCTCCTGTGATAAGGATAAGAGGATTTTTTTTATCATCATTATGGATGGTAATAATTCCTAGAGTGATACAGAGATATTGATCCACTAATCTAAAAAAAGCATTTTACAAAGGCATTGCTACCCTTATTTTAAGGAACAGGATAACAGAGATGATGAGAGACCAACTCACCTATGGTCAATACAGCACATCAGTGGCACAGCTACAAATCAAACTTGGGTATTTCTGGCTATCCTTGCATGGCTGTCTGTGTTGGCATCTGTGGTCATGTAGACATTACACAGTGCTGGGAGTCAGGAGGTCTGAAAGTTTCCTTAAGCCACTTACAATAAGTGATTTAAAATCTTAATCATCTGAAGCAGTTCACTTCTGCTTTTTCATGATAATGAAGCTTAGCACATGATATCACAATCATGAATTTTTGTAAAGCATACTTAGCTCTTCAGAAAAAGTGCTGGATTAAACAACCCTGCAGGCTGAATCCTTCTCTTTGAATAATGAATACTGGAGAGGCAGTGGCAAGTTCCTTTAGATAGTCCCACAAACCCTGCTAAAGCAAGGGCCAGCATCCATGGCTGTTGGGTCCCTAGTTTCTTTATCTTTACAGCCAACAGGCTATTTTTATTTTTTAATACCTTTCACAGCTAGGAATTACTCTCTGCCAGCCAACTAATTTCACAGGCACTGTCCCAGAGCCTTCTGCTTGCTGCCTATTCTTGTAGCTGAGTATAACAAGTTAGAGGTACAAACAATGATTATTTTTTCCTTAGATGTAGGAGTGAATAACAGTGAATAAAAAGATGACTCAAGGAAAAAAAAAAATCAGTTTCTTTAAAATACAATGCTCCACCACTGGAGCTCTGTATCATTATTTTAGTCTCATTTTATGTTTCACACAACTGACAATAGGAATTTGGAGTGGAAATGCTGATGGTCCATTATCAGTAGTGACAGCAATGGGTGTGACTTTATTAAAGTTCTGTCAACTCTTGGCTAGAAACTACAATAGAAACAACTAGTTCCATCTCTCTCCCTCTCTCCCTTTATCTTAGCACTTATATCACACTCATCACAAAGTGTTACATTTTCCCTTGATACCACAGGATGGGATTTCTCCTTGCTACTGGAGCCATGTGATACATACAACCCTACATCTCTCCTATGAGTTGTCAGCAGACTGTCACCATACCAGCAGTAAGGTTGCTGTTGTAGTGTAGACGCGGCCTAAAAGTCAACTGAAACCTTTTTGGTCTTTACTAAGCAAAAAAACCCCAACAAACCCAGCCTAAACCAAAACTGTTCTACTGAGCAGTGCAACCTGGAGCTATTCCTTGCAACTATCAGCTGGTAATAAGATCACTTGTCTGAACCCTTTAACAAAGCTTGAAAGCTGACAGAAATACCAATGAAGATACTTTTAAGCTCTTTTCATCTGAGATACCATGATGTGCACTTGTTATGCAACTGAAAAGAGATGCCAAATGGAGTTTATTGGACCACAATTCCATCTCACTGCTCTGAGCTCAGTGAATCCCTGACGGCTCTGGCATGGCAAGAACAGTGTTTTCCTAAGACAGTGACTATTTTTCATTCACCCCTCTGTGTCTAGAAGGAAGCACATCCGGATGGGTGCTGGGAAAACAAATACTGTTTGTGGCAAAGGGAATTAACATCTTGGAAATGGTAACATGAATTAAAACTCATTAAGGATTGGAACTCTTTACAAAGATTTAACTGTGTAAGTTTTCCCTCTTGCTTTAGTGAAGCAATTTTTCACCCTGTTCTTTTTTCAGCCAAGCTCCCTCCACTGCAAATCTCCCTCAACACTTTTCATTTCAACTGTAATACCAACCATTTTCTCAACATTTTGCCGTCTCTCATGGAGTGGTGGTTTTGTGAAGCTGATGAAAATCTGCCTGAAAACCTGGTTGGTGCAGCTGAACTCATTTTCAAGTGTGAACATGGGTGTGTAGAAAGCAATTCGAGTTTAACAAGGCATGATGCATGAGGGCATGATAGAGCATCAGTCGTGATTGTGACCAAAATGAACCCGAGTGGCAGGGAGGATACAGCTCAGCTTTGATTACTGGTGTGTGACCTACCTGGGCTGAGATCTTCAGTCTCCAGCAGGAGAGAGCAGCACATTAACTCTACAGCTGTGCTGGCCAGCAGACGACACTGCTCTGCCTGGTATGTTGGTGACGTGACTTGGGAATCTCAGCTCCTGATTGTCGTGAGATTGTTATTCATGGCAGAACAAAACTACCCCACCAGCCTCACTTACCCTGCTGGATTTCTTAATTAGCTTTTCTATGCTCCTACCATACCCACTGTCTGTTGAATAAAAGCAAGAATGCAGTGGGATTTTTATGGATCCCAGGAAAGATCCATTTCTTTATTGGGTGATGCTGACAAGTCAATTAAATCTTTTTGGGGGCTCAAAACATCAGATGTGCAGATCTTGTTGTTTCAGCAGTTAATTAGCTCCTTTCCCACATGTGTCTTCCATCACCCCTTCCCCGTGCTACTTACACAATGAAATCAGTGAAAATCAGAAACACTTTATTTTGCCTCAATGCTGGGTCTAGAAAGACAATGGCAGCACTTGACTCCATCAGTTAACATTCCTTACTGATCTGCAGAAACCAACCTCAGACCTTTCCCTTAACCTTCCCCAAGGCAAAAGCCATGATCCTGAGGCTCTCCTTGCCTGAAGGGACTGCTGCCACCCAGCCCCAAAAGTTTGGGTATCCCAAAGCATAAATGTAAGTGCATAATTTTCTTGGGGGCCTTATTTATAGAGTGCCTTTTCAACAAGTCCTTATTTTTCAACAGTAGTACAGTAAGTGCTTTCAAGCAGTGCCATGAAATACAGGAACTTCCCTTGCTGAAATATTTTGGCATTTTATAGAAACTGGACTGCCCACAAACCAAAAATCCCCATACACAAACCATTGCACCAAATACTGTGGATTCTATACCCTACCAGAAACCAGTAGATCCAAAAGTGAAGAAAAAAGTCTAAATCTATACCCATATCTATATGCAAAATAGGTACTATTACTTTTTCTATGTGCCTTTTGAAAATGTAATAAAATGCATAAACTGTGCTTTCTATGTATCTGGATTTTTCTGTAGAAGTAATGTTTTTCATAGCTCAACACTTAAAATGACTTTATTCCCCACACTGTTAAATGGCTGTGGCAGGTACCACAGCATCCTTCTGCACTGACAGACAGCACTATCCCTATTTTATTTTCCACTCAGCACCAGCTGGCACTGACATTTTGACAAGGTTCATACTATGAGAATGAATTCAGTTCCATATACCATGGAGTCAATATGCAGCCTGGGTCATCAATATACATTTATCTTTCTATCCAATATGTTTTCAGAGGGCCTTTCCCCAAAAGGCACTTTTGTACTCAAAAGGGATCACTGGCTATTGAAGTCTGTGCTGCATTTCATTTCTGAAGTTCAGGTTGGCCACTTGACCACCCTTGATGGTGCTGTTTAACTCCTCTGCCCTGGTTTTTGGGTTGCGGTAGAGGCACAAGATTTAAAAGCTCCTTTTACAAACTTTTGTCCAGACAAATCTCTCAGGTTCAAGCTAATCTCTTTGTTTCTCAGTTACAGCAGACCTATGTTTTGCATATAGTTACAGAAAACACAGGAATGGAGGAGATAGATAGTGCTCCAACGTGGGCCATTTCCCATGACCCTGTATGCCTTCAAACAGTCATTTACAGTCCTGTCCTTTTTTTTGGGTTTTTTTTTAGCCTTGTGTTACAAAGAAGAAATGGGGTCAGGGAAGCAACTTTGATTTTGTGAGAGCAGAAAACTGAGGGTGTTTTCTCAGGGTGCAAAGGAACCTTTCCAGCTGACAAACAGGGTGATAACACAAGTTAATATGTTGGCACCGAGACCTTTCTGACACTGGAAATAAAAGGTGATAATTTCAGTCACTGTGCAAAGTTCATGTGGATACCTCCTTCACATGGGACGTATTACAGCATAACCTCTCGCTGCAGACAGCGGCTCTGCCTACCTTGGCTGTGACATATAGTTCCCAATTAGCACTTAAGGAAAGAGACTTTCCAGACTGCACACTCACCTCTGCTCAGTCCATCCGGTCCCCGAAGGATTCGGCATTCTTCTATCTGGCCGAACGGAGAAAACATCACCCTGATATCATTCTCATTACACTTCTTCGAAACCATTCCTATGAACAATTTTCTGTCTTCCACAGCTAGAAGATAAAAATAATGAATGAGCAAAGGCCATTTCATCTTTTTCCTGTGATCAATGCTTCATTACCACATCAAACCAAGCTCCAGTCATGTGAGTCTGGCTCTGTAACTGAAGACAAGTCCTAAGGCAAACACTTTATACTTACAACCTCCCTTCCCCCCTTCCTCCCCCACCCTAAATCTCTTGTTTTTCTTTCTCTCTCTCCTTTCTCTAGTGGTGCTTGCTGTTTATATAACATATTAATTGGCTGCCTTAGTCACTCTGCGTACGCCTCCCCATCACGGCTTCTAAGAGAAAAGCACCCTCAGTTAGAGACACTTTTAAAGATATCTTTGCATAGATTCTAATTCAGATAAATTCCCTCACCCCCCTCACGTGTGAAAGAAATCATGATGGCGTGAGGGTGAAGAAGGGATTGTGCATGTAATGATACAAGCTAATGAAAAATACTCCAGAGAAATATTTTGAGAAAGCAGCTCCTATCTGAGCTTTCAATTTCAGCCAACTTAATGCACAGCCCGGGAAAGGCAGATGTGCAATGACTGCTCTGGAAAAAGAATGCATGAAATTTTTTGTCTAGGTTTTTTTTTTTTTTTTTTTTTGTGGGTTTTTTTTTTAGTAAAATACAAGGCATATTCCAGGACATCACCTGAACATCCTTTGATTTGTAATGATGCTGAGTTTGCAAAAAAAAAAAAAACAAACAAAAAAAAAATAAATCCCAAGAAAAAGATGCTTTTCCTGAATTATTGGGTAGAATATTTCCTGCCTGCACTGTCACCAAAACCAGCACTACCTGGACTACTACAGCAGGACACACACAGTCCTTTTCATCAAACTCAAATTTACAGGTCTAAAGCTGGGGAATCTTGTCAAAAATGAAAGAGGTCATCAAAACTTAATTCACTCTGGAAAGACTTTAAAATGTTAACACACCCGCCCAGCTACCCTAAACCAAAAATCTAAGTGCTTATTATACAGTACATACACCAGTGCTTTCTTCTTCTCTGGAAATGGCATGTAAATCCAATTCCCTGTTAATGAGCAGACTGTCAGGGTTTGTGGGGAAGCAAAGGGAGAAGGAAAGCTTTACTCCAGAGAGTCTGCACTGCACTTACTTATTTCTATTATTGTGCAAATTATTTTTGTAATGAAGTATTTTCATTTCTGGGCTTACAAAAAAAAATATGAATCCTCCCTTGCTCTCCAACTCTGTCTCCTGTATTAGTATGAGTTTGTCAAATGGAATAAATTGCAGCTGAGGAAGAAGGAACTGCGTCCATTTTTCTAGGATTTTATTTGTGTTATGCTTCAACACTTCCAGTGCATTTAATAATTTCAAGAATAACAAGAAGAGGTTCATGTTTATTGATCATGAAAAGTGTTTGAAGTAATTTTCTCCTTAAATTGCTGACTTTAAAAAGTATTTGTAGCTTTTATACAAGCAAGCACCAAAACTGTGCACTTGTCAGAATCCAAAACAGAGACCAGCCCCTGCAATCCCAGCTTCTCACTCTACAAGGCTGCAAGAAAATTGGCGTGAATTTAATACCCAGGGGAAGATGTTTTCCTCAGCACAGATTCCTCGAGACTGAACATTTTCATTCACACTTTATATTGAGGTTCCACATGCAGGTGAACCCTCCAGAAAGGGTTAAAGATGATGAATGCATGGGATGAGCCCTGGGATGAGCCAGTTCTACACAGATCAGGAGCTGAATATCTGTGATTGCAAATAAGACCTGCAAGTTGGGATATTTTTGGTTTTATACATATGTAAGTCTTACTATGAAACTTTACATCCAGCTCATAATATATAACTGACCTTGGTGCTGCTAATAATTACTTTAAGGATGGGAAAACCAAATTGCCTTGCTTACAGCTACAAGAGGACTCTAGGCAGCCGTTTCTGCTGCCTAGTAGCTTGGCTGCTTACAATTCCTGTATCGCCTTGAGCAATCTGTTTGAGGGAGTTCCCTGGCCAGCTTGTCCCAGACAGAGACTATGGCCAGGGTGCTGGAATGGTTTTGAGACAAGGGACCCAGCTGGGCTGCTGGATCTGGATTTCTCCATACCACAGACTCAGGTGGGGCTGGGGGAAACCTTGGTGCCCAAGCACAGGTCTAAGAATTGCCTCCTGCTCTGTGTTATGAACCTCCTAATTTCTGCCTGTGTGTCAGCTAGCATCAGAGAGCTTAAATTTGGGTTGATTTTCGGCTTGAAATACAGTGTGCAGGTCTACCCTAAGGGTGACTAGGTTTCAACCCTGTTTTAAAAATAGCTGTTGGCTAAGTTGGACAAATGCCTGCCACAGCATCCCAAAGGAGTTCCCTTGGGTCCTGCTTCAGTGTCAGGACAAAGACTCAAACCAAAGAGATTCACATGGAGATTCAAAAGAAATGAGATGCAAACAGAAGGCTTTGTTTTAATTTTCCAAAGAGTAGCAGGCGACAAACTCCCCACCGGCCTCCTTTGGTTTCGCTAGTAAACCTATAAATATGCCATTTAACTAACATGATTTGCAGGTTTGCAGCTTGAGGGTGATTTTATAGTAAATTAAACATCCAGCTCCTGTGTACTGTACATCTTAAAAATGCAGATTTCACAAAGAATGCTCAGAGTACAGAAAACATATTGATATGATGACGTGCTCTGCATTCAGTGCCATTAGTCAGTGCTGATCAGTGTTGAAGCTTAAGAAAATTGCTATTCTTTTTTTTTGGCTAGGGGCCCTGCATAAAAAACATTTAAAGTGACAATTGTCAAGATCAAAATGGCACATTTTCACTCCATCTGATAGAACATCTGATATTATTAGGCTGAAAGAGTTTTTAACGATATATTCTCACAGAGAGAGAGGAATGTTTTTCCACCTTGCTAAGACTGGCTGTCGGGATTTGTTTCTGCATTTTGGGTCAGCCACTTCTTTCTTTCTAAAATGAATTCTTACCTGCCACACAGGCAAAGTTTCAGAATCAAATAGACAACAGACTGCAAGAAGTGTGGGTTAAACATATTTAGAGGTTAGTAAACTTCACTTTGAATCTGCCAAACCTGTGGATTTTCCTGTGCATGTTGCGTTGCTCCCGTAGGCTGTAAAATGAGGAGCCCAATGTTAAAAACACGTGACCCAACAAAGGCTCAAGATCAGGACAGGTGCTACCTGCTGCTGACTGGGGAAAGAGCAGCACTCTAAAGTCACCTTGACTAACTTCCATCACCTATGGTTTAGGTGTAGTTTTACGTGTGCCCAGCTTTAGTCTCAGCTGAAATGTTACCAGTTGGCTGTTGGCAATGCCAAGACATCAGCCCCTCCAAAGAGTGACTGACCTCGCCTCTCTCAGCAGGCCAGGATGGCTTGTGCCATGGGAGTCTCTCCCTCTCTACTGACAGCAGACAGGGCTGTTACCTTCCAGCCAAATCCCAAATCTTGGTCATCATAATAACCTAGATGTCCTGAGGTCCAGCTGCATGGACAGGAGGAATAAATGAGCTTGGAGGGAATGGACAAAGCTTGGAAGCTGTGAGTGCTTTCAGCAGTGAGAACAGGCAAAGGAGAAGGAGAGGAGAAGGATAACAGTGCACAAGGGTCAGCACCTGTACCCATGTATCTCATAAGCATTTCACTGCTGCTTGATAACTCCCACACTTGGGGTAGGTTTCAATAATTCAAAATCCAGAAAAAAAATAAAAATCTTTTTTTTTGGCATGTGTTTGACATCATTATTTCTGAACCTCGCTCTCAGGCTTAGTTGTACTTTCTGACTTTTGCACCACTTTCTGGGCCTGAAGTAGATACAAATATCTGTCAGCAGTTAGTAGGATGGGATGGCTGAGCATCCCTCATTGTTGGAGCAGAAGCAGCCAGAAGGTCACACTGAACGAGGCCTGAAGTTCTAGTTGTACGAAGGAAGGTGTGAAAGTGCAGGGTATCTTGACTAAGTAACTAAGGGGTTCACCTCTAATCCATCCAAACATATTACAGATGCAGGTTAGTGGTGCTGCCAGGGCTGTTAGAGTGGCACATCCAGTGCTAAACCTGCTGGATTTGGGGGGGGAATCTTTTGCCTAAATTTAAGAACGCTGTGTGACGACGTGCAGATATCTGTTTTAAAATGAGATGAGTTGTTCTTGTAACTGCATCAAGACTAGCACGGGTGCCTGGGCATCGTGTTTGAACCCAGAGCACTGCATTAGCCATCAAAGTTTATCTGAGATGAAGTCTGTCTCTGCTGGGGGGAGATTTTCTCAAACCAAGCCTTCTGACAGTAGTACATCCAACGTGCAGAATAACATCCTGAAGGGTCTGATTTTTTAGCTTTACTCAATTTGTTTCAGTAATGAGCATTTCTTGCAGGCTGTGTTAGATTGCTTGTGCTAATCCAGGAGAATAAAGGAGTAGAGATTATTTTCTGAATGCTACAAAAGAACTAAACCCTGTATTAATCATGCAAAATCTTCCTGAAGATTCAACAAACTCTCCTTTTCTCTCTTCTAAACTCCAAAATTCTGAAAAATCAGAATTATAACAATTTATTATACACTTTTGAGTCCACTCAGATAAAGAATGCATTTTCCCTGTAGAATTTGAGAAGAGAATTTGCCATCTCTTTTGAACAAATCAATAAATAGTTAATTATATATAAATGGTGTTTCTTGTGGGGTGTTTTTTTCTTTTTTTCCCATCCAGAAGGGAAGGGAGAAAACAGACTTTTTATTTCTATTTGTAAGCCTGTGAAACCCCCTTGCATACAATCTGTCAAAGTCACACCTGGATCTGGAACTGCCTGCATTAATTATCAACTTTTCTATGTGTTAGTGCTAACATATGGCATTTAATTACTCCCTCCAAATCGGCAAAGTTGTGCTACTTAGAATTCCAAAATTATTTTTTCGAGTTTTCACTAATAAAAGAAATAAAAAATAAATTATAAGATTACTCAGTTATCCTCCCCCCTTTTTTTTTTCTAGAGAATTTTGCCATTTCCCCTGAAGCAGTGATGCTTTGATCCATTTAAGAGAATACTTTCTGTAGGATAAGTGCCTTAAAGTATTGACTGTGTTCAAATGCAGATCCAAGACACATTTAAGTATTTGCTAAATCGTAGCATGTTAATGGCCATTGACACCTTAGAGTCAAGCAAGGGTTTATGTGTTTTTTGGCATTAGCCTGCAGGGATCTCCTTTGTTTGAAAAAGGGAAAATGTCCTTAAACGGATAAATACTGTGAATGAACAGCTGAGATGAATCTCAAAGTCAAACCCAGATAATCTTTAACTGAAACTTTGTAGATAGGTTAAGACAATAGGTTAGGCATAAACGTGGTGAGAATAGACCTATGGGTGATCAGACCAGGACACACTACAAAATTTATAATCTGAAAATCTTTCAGAGATGTTACATTTCTCAATTCTAAGCAGCTTTTCAGAATCCTCCTGGGTAGACAAAATAATTAGGTCTAAAGGCAAGTCTTGCCCCGTCAGCTCTAGCTGCTAAAAGCTTGGTGGAAGCAATGAAGCTTTCCTTAATCTGCACAAGCAGAGAGATGGCTCAGACACACTGTAAGGAAGGAATCACTGGGACATGTTGCCCAGAGAAGCTGTGGATGTCCCATCCCTAGAAGTGTTCAAGGCCAGGCTGGGGCTCTGTTCTTTGAGAACCTCTGCAAGTTCAATGAGTGGACCTCTCCTTCTTCCCCGTGGAACTTGCTCAGATCTGTCAATCCTTCACAAACATCTACAAGCTCAGCAGAACTGTAGCGAGTGTTCAACCTCTCCTACATATCTTTCCACAAGCTATCTTGAAATTTTGACCAAGAGCATTTCTTTAACCTTGCTGAAAAGTGAGAAACACTATTTTATGTATAAAATGTACTGGGATCCTCCCATGACTCAGAAATCAAAGGGGTTTAAGTATTCCTTAAAAGCTCAAACACCACAGATAATGAAAACCAAGATGGCTTGGCAACTCTTTTTTCTTTTCTCATTTGAACTTACCAATCTGGTTGAAGAGGTACAGTTTACAATTTGCTGTTGGCATGGATAACATACCTCCTCAGATGGATAGTCTGAAGCATATGGGAAACACGTGCCAACAAACCTCCACATCCCCCGTGCTGCTGTTCTTTCTGGCTCTCCAAGATGATTGCAAACTGTTACCTACTTCACGAACCCCACGCCTACACCTCATTTTTCTGAGGAGCTGTACCATTATTACCATCATTGTGGTGTTAGTTTGCCTTCTGTTTCCCCAGTCAATAAAAAGAAAAAAATAGTTCACCACCCCTAGAACATGCCTATCAGAAGTTCCTACACCCTCCAGGAGTCTAAATGTAAAAAGGTGTTTAAGTTGACAATTGGAACCTCTGATCTGATAATTTGTTTTCCCCAAAATACAAAGAAAGGCAAGGAAAAAAAGCCAAAAAAAAAAAAAAAAAGAAAAAGACAATCCCTCATGATTTTCATGCTGGGAATAGGTGCCAGAAACTAAGTGAGTATTCCCACAGTGCAGACAGCAGTTTCGTGCAGATAACCCCAGACTAACAGCAGCAGCCAGGATCCAACCTACCCTGCTTACCAAGCGGGTGCTACTTGCAGAGCAAGACAGAATTTGCACAATTCCCCATAGTGTTTTGCCAATATGTTCAATCTCCTTTAGAAAGAAACACTTCAGGCAATGAACAAATAACTCACTAGGAGTCAATTTTGGCCCATTGCCTCTTGTTTTTCTAATTTACCAAGGAAATTGAGGTGAAATTTGTCTTTGAAAGAAGAACCCATAGAGGCTATTCAGAGGGTTCAGGCCAGTGTTTCTGTGCCCAAGGGATAACTGTGGCCACTGCAAGCACTAAATACTAGGCAGTGGAGTTTGGATTCCAACAGAAAAGTTCTCCTTGACTGCAGTGGGACCTGAAAAGTTCAGTCCTTCTGCCCATGCAGGTGTCTTGGCCTTTACTCTGAGCACTCAAAGACAGCAAGAAACCACTGCTAAAACTTAACTGTCACAAGACAGCAAGAAATCACTGCTACAACTCATTACTCAGAGAGGGTGGTCAGGCACTGGAAAGGGCTCCCTGAGGAGTGGTCATGGCACCAAGCCTGACTGAGTTCAAGAAGCATTTGGACAACACTCTCAGGCACACGGTGTGATTTCTGGGACTGTCCTGTGCAGGGCCAAGAGTTGAACTTCAGTGATCCTCGTGGGCCCTTTCCAGTTCAAGATATTCAATGACTCTATGACTCTAATCTGAGAGAGAGAACACCCCTCCCTTACAAATGGGTGACAGCTGAAACTTCCCATGCTCATGGCTACTTTTGTTTGGAAAGTTGTCATAATGGGAAACCTAGCATAATGTGAAGCTTTAATTTCCTCCCAAACTTCATAATCCTTGGAGAAGCCTGAAAAAGGGATGCACTACAATTAGCAAAAAAAGAAGCCTTAAAAAAGCCTCGTGGAGAGATTTAGAGCCCAATCATAATTTACATTTGCAGGTATGCAGATCTCTGAGTGCATGGCTTCTGCCCTGATTACTAATTAATGAGGTGCAAAGATGCCTGTTGGAGGAACCAGCTCTGATTATGTGGGCCTTATGGGAAAATGAAGCTCTTGCAATCTAAGAAGGCAGATGATATCTTTAACATATATTTTAGAAAATTACAGGAACAAATCAAGGGGCAAAATATACACATGTATATATTTTTAAAGAATCACACACAGCCAGGTTGTGCTACCACTCCATTATCTTATTTCCTTGAATATATAAACCTGGCATGTTTGATAGATTTAGCATGCTGTATATTTTGCATGTCATATACATCCACTTAGGCAGTACACTCGTGTTCCAAATGGGTATTACTGTCTTTATAGCATTTATTTTTCAATCGCTGAGAGGAATAAGTATACAGAGAGCTGCAAGGTGGGTTTCCCAATTCATAAGGAAGAATATGATTAAAACCTAAATTTGGCTCAGATTCAGAACAGCATCATTCTATAAAAAGGTAGTTTAGGCAAATGTTTAAGGCAGATCATCTGCCTACATGGTGTGTTCACACAGGAATGCTTTTTTGTTTCTTTTCTTTTTAATTTTCTCCATGAAAATTTCATCTCCATCTTGTCAATATCAGATGCTCCCACAACACTTTGCTGCTAGGAGAACTCAAGGGAAAGATGTATGCAGAGAGGTGGGTCATGACATACAGCAGATACAAGGAAGACCCTTTTTCAGAACATTTCTTTCCTTCTTTTAAGCAGAAGATAAAAGGGAATTCAGATCAGGTCAACACCTTCCCCAACATGCCAGTTATAGGGAAACTACCTCATATCATTTTCACCACACACGGTGTAAAGCAAAAACTCTATGTTGTGCTTATTTTAGTTCAGAGAGTCACAATTAGATAAAAATAAATTAAATACCTACCGTTTGACTTTTCACTATCTGCAGGTTTCATCTGAATAGGATGATGCATCTAAAAACAAAAATGAAAGAGAGTAAGGCAGGTTGGATAGTCATAAAAACTCAAGAATTATGGTTTTAATGAACGGCTAAAAAGATACATGATTTAATATTAAACATGTTGAAATTAGATACATTCAAAATAGCACTGTATTATAGGCTTTTAAGAAAAAAAATGGTAAAGGAGCATTTTATAACCAGGAAGATTAAAAAAACAAGATCATTGGGCCCATAGGACTCATATAAATCTTTAATTTGCTGTATCTAGTTTCAGAGGACCTCTAAAGTTACAGCCCTCATTAGTTTATGGCATGCTTAGTTTCTGTTTTACCAACTCTTTTAGCTTGAGCTCAACCACTGCCAAAACCAAGATGGAATTTTCAAGTAATTTAAGAACTAGCAAGCATTTCAAACATACTCAGAGGAGTTGAGTTTGACAAATGAACTTTGCTTGTAATTAAAAAAAAGGTGCTGATTCTTTCAGGCCTGAAGAGGAAGAGACTCTTTCTTCCTAGAATAGTTCCCTATAACTGTTTAGTATCTCATCTCATCTTTTTGTTTTAGAATACATTATACTTTCATTCATAAAGCTTCCATCACAACATGGAACAGTTTTGGCTTCCTTTCAATCTCTTCATTCATGTCTGTCTTGCTGCAAAGGAAACCAGCCCCTGTGTGTAGTGTTCTGTGCTAGAACATCTCATGGCATCCTACCTTGGCACACTTGGTGTGTCCTCAGCTTTCTCTACTAAATGATGCTTCTCCCACATTGAATTGTTGATAACTCCAACAAAATTTTAAGTGTTCTGTCAGGAATAGCAACACCACAACAGCTGAGCTCCCTCTGATTGGAGTGTGTGGCTTTTCCACAGGTTAGAGCCAGCTGTGTGGCCACTGTGGTGTGTTCAGAAAAATTCTGTTACAGCTTCTCAAAAGCCTTCAGAAGTGACCTCACATTGAGATTCAACGTGGGAGACATTTAAGCTTGCAAAAAACCCACTTGTTATTTTCTTTCATGGGCTCTGCTTAGTTGCTGGAATTTGACTACACAAACCTTCCAGCAGCAGCAGGACCACTGCCTTTTCTCTCCTCAGCAATTCCTTACCAATTCACAGGAACAGATGAAAAAATGTATGCTCTTTCTGCTTTTGAATCATTTTTTAGTGCAGCAGAGCTGATATTGCCTGAAAATGTCAGAGGCAATTCCATTTTTTTTAAATAAAAGACTATTATGACAAACTTTGGGAAACAAAAACAGCTGAGCAGGAGAGAACATCCATGCCCTTATATCAAATGTGCTTTCAAAGCAGCACAGAAACCCAAATCTGCATTGCTTTTGGTGGAGTCACTTAACCTCCAGGGATAGAGTTGCTGCATTCTTCAGAAAATATAAAATATTGCTGTGAATGTTTCTGTAAGATTTACTCAAAGTCCAGAATGCTCCCTGGCCTTGCAGATCAATGCATTCCCTATGCTGCTTGCACAACTCCCCACTGTGCCCTAAGGAAAAGGCAAAGCCACAAGGCAGATGTAGTCACCAGGATGCATAAATTTGCTTCAGTTTTAACAGTTCTGTTCTCTTTGAGTCATTAGTTTCCTAAATGGACTCTAATAGCCCAGCTATTGTCTGCCACCACTCTTATTCCATCAAATGTATAGAAAAAAGGAACTTCTGTTATACTGTGTATTAGAGTTTAATATTTATCCTGACATCAACAATACACTGGGCACTGCAGGAGACTTAAAATTCATGGGAATGTGATGCAGCATGTCCACACAGCAAGCAAAAGGGGAAAGAAGAAAAAAAGGTGCAACTTGCTCCACAAGGCCATTGCAGGTTACTGACACCTCTGAAGAGCAATGGAGCAGTGAGAAAATAGAGGAAAGAAAGGTGAGTATTGTAAATTCAGGAATATGCAGACTATAAGAGAAAAACCCAACACAAATTCAGGCCTTTTGTAGACAGAGAATCTATTACTCTTTCTACCTGCATTTATATGTCCCTAAGAGGAGATATTTTGAATAAAGGCAATTCTAACAACATTGAAAACCTCTCACTTTTCAAACTGCCTGAATCAGAGAAGCCAACTTTAGACCAAATTCATGGGAAGTTCTTTTTGCAGCCCATGGTCAAAACATAAAGATCAGTGTTACCTGACAAATGCATGTACTGCATCTAAACCCATCCACTTCGTTACACTTAATTACCCCAAGTTCATTAAGTCAGTAATCTGGTACATCCATGAAGCAAGAGGTAAGATGTAACAAGATGCTTCAACTGGGTTTTTTACTTGATTTCAAAGCTTCCTGCTAAAAACTCACGCTCCAAATTCTCTTCACACCAGCAAGCTGAATTTTGGAGTGATGCTGTTGTGCTTAAAATTATATTGGTGCAAAACTAACAGAAGATTCAGCTCAGGCCTGGAGAGTTTAAACTGCAGAACACCCCTGGAAAAATGGATGTGATGCACAAACCTGGTTTCAGCGAAGAGGAAGGTGGCAAAATACCTTACTGACAGTTTCCTAACATAAGAGGGCTCGTGTTGAAGCTTGTTTAACCCTGACCATCACCAATTGATACGTTAACAACCTTTAACACTAGATTCAATAAAACATGCCATTTATAACCTGAAATGGGTTTTACAGAGTCACTGGTTCGCATCTCATTATTAAACTCATTGCTGACCTCTAGAGACAACTGCCGTGACAATACATATTATAAGCTCTCTGCCCATAAAATATTTAAAGGTAGGTGTAAAAAAGAAAAGAAAAGAAAAGGAAAGAACGACTCTCAAAGAAGTGTGCAGTGAATAAGAAAATTAAAGGGGCAGAGACAAAAGCTAAATAGGTACTATCCTTTCACTCTACAATGAGCAAAAGAGAAAATAATCTTTGCGGTTTATATCTTGCTTGTATAACTGCAGGCTATAAAATAATAAAATAGCTGTGCTTTCCCTGGCCCTCCAAAAGATTATAGATGATATAAACCCGTTTCAAATTAGATGCCACTCACTAGAATCATGTCATCTACCGAAATGAAGGATTTCATGTCTTATCAGAAAGCTGTTATTGTAGCTATACATCACTTACGGATCTCAAGGTAAGTGATTTCTCAGTATGTCATGTTGTCACACAGAACAACAGGAAACATTTTCGTCTTTGCTTGAAGAAAGCTTTGCTTATGAAAATACAGCATTTATGAATGCACAGTTGCAATTAATAAATAGGCAAGAGTAAGAAAAACAACAGCAGTAAATAATTTATAGACTTGAACATCATCCTGCTCTCAGACCATACGGTAAAAGAGACCAACACAGATCTCAGGCAATCTCTTTCTGAGTGTGGGCAAGCACCGTGCACGGGGATATCAAATCCAGACTGGAGTACGGACTGGAAGAACAACCTCTCCTTGGCCAATATTTTAGACAGCTCTACTGGACGCAGTTGTGCAGCAAGCATGGCATGGCCTACCTTTCTTACAGGCACTCTCTACCCACAAAACACACCATGCCACGGTTTTACAACTGAGAGCAGGCAAATGCCTGTTGCCCAAGGTTGCTGGTGCCTTGCGGCAGTGCTGGCAGCAAACTGGGGGTTCATTGCTGCCTGCTCTGCCAGGGAGGCCACCCAATGCCCGAGGCCAAGCACATCACTGCTTTTCCTTGGGCACATTCCAAGCAGGGGTGCTGATGCAGTCCATGGGAACCAAAAAGGCAAAGAAACACTGTCAAACATACAATCCTGAAAATCCCCCTGAAATCAATGAGAATCTGGCTGCTGGCTGTCTCCAGGGCAGCAGCAGGACCATGCCATGGCCTAGAATTACAATTGACTAGTTACATCTTTTTTTCCCCTCTCTTTTTCCTGAATACAACCCACTGTATATAAATACACCTTCATTAGAGAAAAAAGCACAGCAGAGCAACCCAAAACCTCTCAAAGGCACACATCCTCTCCAGCTTTAGAGCCTCAAAGTCATCTTCTCGGCAATAATAATGCTACCTATTTACATTCTTGTCAAAGCCATGTGACATCTGCATGGGAGAAAACAAGCCGGCTAAGATTTTATTTCTGGCAAAAATATTGCAAGGAAATTAGATTAACCTGGGTGGAATTCTATCTGGGAATTTGGAGTCTGTCGTGGTGATTAAGTCATCATTTCTGTCAGATTACTCTAATCGGCTGTCAAATATGATTCCACAACCCCATCTGTAACTTGGCATCCTCGTTATTCAGTCGATGTTACCTTCTGTATACAAAACAAACACCAAACAAGGAGGTGTGTGCAGCCTAGCATTTAGCAGAGTCATTAGCTATGATTACTATTGTGTGCTTGCACATTGCACAAGGTGATCAGTTTATGGTTTCTTTTATTTCATCATGGGATACTTCAAATCAGGTGTAATCTTAAGTCTGGAGTGCTGGGGTGAATGGGGAAGAACTGTCTCCAGGCATGGACGAGCATGGGCTTGGCATGCTCGAAGTCACCAGCAATTGCTTAAATCTCATCTTGGAGTTGACAGTGTATTTGGTGGAAAAGCTTTTGAGCACTTACTTTCCATTCATTTTCTGAAGGGAAATGGGCATTCAGATGTTCTGGGTAGGCTGAAGAGTTCCTGCAAGCAGCAATTTCTGTGAGTGAAGCGAGGTTCGGAGGAGGAGGTATTTGGCACGCTAAATGGTCTGCACTGGTTTTAATAAGAGATATTTTGTTATATGTATGAGTGTTAATCTTAGAGAGGACTGGTGATTAAAAGGAGGAGATGTTTTTCAGTGAAGGTGAAGGAGCTGATGGGTTCAATTTGCTGCAGCTGTGTCAAGTCTGTAAAATTTGGGTACCCTCAGCACCTCTGAAACTCTGGCCAAGTAAATAGACTGTGAAAAATTGTTATTTTATGGACCATTGCAAAAACAACTTCATATATGATTCCTTCATCTATTAGCAGTTTTTATTCTCCATTCCTGCCACCGCAGATACATGTGTCCTGCTCCCATCATTCCCCATGCCTCGAG